TTGGAGTTTTTTTAAAGTTTCATTAGATAACATAATTATTCTTGTTTATAATAGTTAATATTAGAAAAAAATTTACTTTGTCTTATCTCCTCTACCTCAACAGAAAAAATTTGAAGATTTTAAAAATATGATATACTACTGAGAAATTTTATTCTATTTTAGATAAAAAAAACTTATGAATTCCTACCATTACTCCTTCAAAAAACACAGTCAATTGTTCAAATTTTTAAAATTCGACCTTTCTTTGCTTAATTGCTTATTAATAACGATAGTCATTTTCTTTTATACTCTTGGGGTGATGCCTTTTTCAAAATTAAAATAAACTATATAATGGAAAAATTGGAACAAGAAAATTATTATTGGTATATCCTTTTTGTGCGGGGTGGAAAAGAAGAAAAAATTATCGCTAACATCAAGTCGGAGTTGGAAAGAGAGAAACAATGGCTAGAGGATATAAAAGATTTAAAGTCAGCCCTAGGAACAGTAAAAAATTATGTTTTTTGCTATTGCTGTCTAACTCCCGGACTAGTAAGATTTCTTTATAAAATAGAAGGAGTAATTAGGTTTTTAAATCATCAGCGGGGAGAGGTAAGGTTGCCCGAACCCGTTTCAGAGGAAGTAATCGAAAAGTTTTTCTCCCAAAGTCAAAGAACAACTGAAACTACCGAAACAACTCATCACAACGATTTAAAAATTGGTGACCTAGTGCAAATCACAGTCGGAAGTTTTATTAATCAAGAAGGAAAAGTCACTCACCTCGACGAAAAAAAATCTCGAGTGAAAGTAGATATCGAATTTTTGGGGCAGAAAACATCCCTTGATTTGCCTCTTAATAATTGTCGAAAGGTCTGGGGTTAAAATTAATAATTATGAATTATACAAATGGACAAGAAACACACACACACACACAGAGAGAGAGAGAGAGAGAAGAAACTACAAGTTTAATTAATAAGATAAAGTTTCTACTATTTTCCCGACCATGAGTGGTAAGGATGATTAATGTTATTCGCTACGTCGGTGGATTAGTATTATTTTATTTACCTTTTCATTGAGGTTTATTAGATGTCGGGCGTCTTGACATTTCTTTTGCTGCTTTAACAGCGGTTTTAGTTGTTATTTATCATTATTTTCGCTGAACTGGGCTGCTTTTAAAAAAAATTATTAGCACTAATATTTGTTGAGAAAAATTGCTGGGAATTCTGCAAAAAAAAGAGTTTTTTATTGACGAAAAACAAATCTATCCGATAACTAAAGGCCAAAATTTCAAGTTTGTTTTGCACGAAAAAACAATTTTAGTAAAGTTAACCGGTCAACTCGTTTTAGAAGACAATCGTAAAATTAATTTTCATTGCTTTTTAGCGGAAAATATTTTGCCGCCGCTGCTAGAAAAATTGGCTGCTAGCAATTTCTTAGCCAACAATATTCAATTTGAGAGCAAAATGGCTTTTTCTTATTTCAAAAGTATTGAGGGATTAAGCACTTTCTTTGTTATGATCGTAGTTACAGGCCTAGTTGTTAATTACATATTCATTCAAGGACAAAGTCTTAAAGAAGCTCTCAAATCTTACCGAGCTGACAAAGAAAGAGAAGCGAGAAATAATCAATTATTGAAGGATATGACTAAGCCGATCTTTCCTGACGAGAACTTTCCTTCTTTTGGAGATATAGGTGGTTATGAGGATGCTAAAATAGCTTTGCAAACAGTCGCCGAAGAATTGAAAAAGGGGAGCAAGATTGGTCTGCCTC